TGAAACATGTATATTATCTAGGGTGAAACAGATCACCAGCCCAGGTTGGGTGCATGAGACAAGTGCTCGGGCCTGGTGCACTGGGAAGACCCAGAGGGATCGGGTGGAGAGGGAGGTGGGAGGGGGGACCGGGATGGGGAATACATGTAAATCCATGGCTAATTCATTTCAATGTATGACAAAAACTACTGTAATGATGTAAAGTAATTAGCCTCCAACTAATAAAAATAAATGGAAAAAAAAAACCTACAAAAAAAAAATATCGTATTGCTCAAAACACTAATCATTGTCTCACAATGCACAGTTACCACAAATCTTCACTTTGTAAAAATCACAGTATCTTTGAAGGACACCAGAGCAAAGCACAATAAAATGAGGTACGCCTGTATTTATTATGCCTCAGGCTCTGTCCTAGGCAACAGAGTGCAGATGTCCTCAACTGTCTTGAAGCCAACATTCTAGAGGGAGAAACAACCAATAAATGCATTCCATTAGTCAGCTCAACTGCTGTTAAAAAAAAAAAAGCCATTGATCATGTGGGTTTAAACAACTGAAATATATTTCCTCTCAGTTCTGGAGGCTAGAAGTTCATGATCAAGATCTGGGTGATTAAGTCTGGGGTGAGGACTGTTTTCCTGGCTTTTACAAGGCTGTTTTCTCACTATGTCCTCACATGGCCTTTCCCCTGTGTGTGCATATGGAGAGAAAGGGAAGTCTCTGGAGTGTCTCTTCTTATAAGGACACTAACCCTGTAAGATTAGGGCCCCACCCTCATGAGCTCACTTAATGTTACTTTCTTCTTTAGAGGCCCCAACTCCACATACAGCCACTCTGGGAGTTAGGACTTCAACATATGAATTTTAAAGGGACACACACATTCAGCCTATAGCATATATATATAAAGACATTTTTTAAAGGCTAGTTCAAACAGTGATAATGCCAATAAGAAAATAAAATAAAATCAAGGAAAGGAATAGAGAACAATTGGGTCAGAGATGGTGGTTGCTACTTTAGCTATAGACCTCTTAGAAGAAGGGAAAGTTGAGTGAAACAAATAATGAAAAAGAGGTTGTTATGGGGAGATTTGGGGAAATAAGCATTGCAGGTAGAGAGAATGGTAAGGTCAGAGGCCCAAGATGAGACTGAGAATAACAGGCTCCCGTGACAGAAGGTCATTGTGGTTGGTTGGATCCTAGTTGGCTCAAGGAAGGAAGATAGATGGACAGTAGCCTTACTGTGCCAGCAATAGTCGATACCAGGAATTCAGATTTTGTTCTCACTGCAGTGGAAAGCCATTGGCTGGCTTTAGGCTGGTTAACGTACAAAGGAGACTCAAGTTAAGTGGTTAAAGAGAGAAACTCAAATGAATGTCTTACCCATTTTTGGTACACACAGTAAACCCTTCAATACAGTTCTTTTTAAGTGGAAGAATAGATGTTTTCTTCCATAGTAATTGTCTTTTTGAAAGTCGGATTTGTTAAAAGTAATTTATATATACACTCTTAATAGGGTACAATTTTACGCGGTCTGAAAAGTACACAGTAGTGGAGCCGCCAAGAAGTGAAGAAACAGGACAGTTATGTCACTTCCCAGAACTCCCCCTGTGTCTCTGTGGTCAGCCTCCTCCCTTAACCCCAGCCTTTGGCATCCTTTATTTCTTTCTGGTCTGTATAGTTTTTCATTTTCCATACTGTTATACAATAGATATAAAATATAAAGTCTTTTGAGTCTAAGATCTCTCATTTAGCATAATTCATTTAAGACTCACCATGTTAAATATACCAGTGCTTCTTTCCTCTTCATTGTTTAGTAGCCTCCCAGTGTATGGATGGACCATACGTTGTTTAGCAGTTCAGTTGAAGGATATTTGGCTTGTTTCCAGTTTTTGGCAAGGATCAAAGCTGCTGTAAATAATTGCATCAAGGTTTTAATTGAACTCAAGTTTTCATTTATCTTTAGTTGCTATGTATCGGTAGGATTTTTCAGTTATATACTATGTATTTTAGCTTTATATGAAACTGCCAAGCTGTTTTCTAAAAGGACAGTACCATTCTATATTTGTACCAACAATGAAAGAGAATTCCACCTTCTCTAAATCCTTGAAAGCTCTGATTACCTTTTTTTTAACTTGATCATTCTAATAGGTACATTACATAGTCAATATTCATTTTTCCTAAACTACACAACTGCAGATTTAGAGATGTGGTAGATGTAGGTATGGATAGTAAGGAGAATGCAATGGGTAATGGTGTAACTTTTTCAACTACATTTTTTTAACCAAAAGACCCCAACCTTATAATCCTTGTTGAAACCTAGATCAATTTAAGACTCTAGTACTATAACGCCTGCTTGGATACTTGTACAGAATCTAAGCTTAAAGAATTTACTTAAATTTAAAGAATTTACTCTTGGAACCCTGGGAACATTGAAATCTAGCCCCCCCTATACTCAGTGGGGTTGTCGTGGAATGCTTCTTTAGAAAGGTGACTCATGAGATTCTCTAGTCAAAATATCAGTGACCTCAGAGAGATGAAGAGGCTTCTGTCTCCAAAATTCCAACCTCAGTCATAAACTATTTTTAAAAAGAAAAGAAACTAAAAGTAGTAATTGAATTCATTTTGAGATGCCAAGGGAACATTTCATGAAAAGATGGGCTCAGTAAAGGACAGAAATGGTATGAACCTAACAGAAGCAGAAGATATTAAGAAGAGGTGGCAAGAATACACAGAAGACCTGTACAAAAAAGATCTTCATGACCCAGATAATCACGATGGTGTGATCACTCACACTCACCTAGAGCCAGACATCCTGTAATGTGAAGTCAAGTGGGCCTTAGGAAGCATCACTACGAACAAAACTAGTGGAGGTGATGGAATCCCAGTTGAGCTATTTCAAATCCT